TCCGATCACAAATGCAGACATGGTTTTATGTTTACACGGCGCGATGCAATGCAACGCGTAAAAAGACAGTATAAATCATTATAATCCGTAATTATGTCCCCACTGGATGCAACAAATGCCTCGTTTATAATAGGTTTTAATGTTTTTGTCTCTTTGCTCCGGCCGGGACTCGGCATCACAGTATGGTAGGGGCATAACATTTCCATCACACGCTTGAGGTATTCGGCCAATCACAACGTACTGGATAGCTGGCCAATCAGAGCACACCTCGCTTTTCAGACCGATGAGCTTTGTAAAAATCGACGCGTTTCAGAAAGGTGGGGCATAGAGGAGAAACAATAATGTACAGTATGTGGAAAATAATGTGTTTTCCTTTAACCTTAATGAACCTTAAACCGCATAAACATTTCATTACACCAAATAATGTTCTTTTTAGCAACATCATATGACCCCTTTAAAACATATATGGGTAGATAATGCTATTTATTTCTATGTATATTCCTGAATATAAATACGTTTAAATATCATTCTTCCTTGTTCATTTGGTGAATAACACTGTGGGAAGTAGTGTATTTAGAAATAGTACATTTTTCCATGTACTAAACTCTGTTTGGGTTGACCAGAGGGTGAATTTTACAGGCATCACTGTACTCAAATTCCAGCACTAGACGACCAGTCTAGACGAGAAAGTAATACATGATTGCTTATGGGCAATTCTGTGTGCGTTTTAAATGTATTTATCTTACCGCTCTTGCAGGATCCCCAAAGTCGATCTTTAAGCGGCCCATGGCCCTGATAATGGCAATGATGGACTGAATAGTGTTGCTATAAACCACAACTTTATACTGCTTGCACTCCTCATCTGAGTAGCCATCTTCATGAATGATCCTTAAGTAAAGCAAATCAGATAATGACATCTACTGCACATCAAACAAAACAATTACATCAACAAGATCCAATAATAACTGCAAGCAACGTTCCCTCTAAGCTGTGTGCACGGGCAGACTTTTAATTCTGATGGTGGTCCTGCACAAACCAAAAAATTCAGTTTAAGAAGTATATACATGGGCCATATAATCATTCATTTCTATACACATTTTAGTATAAAATATTTATTACATACAATGATTTTATATTTATTTGGATTACAATTATAAATTATATTATTTTTTATGTATGTACTAATAATTCATATATAATAAATAAATAAATAAATATATATATATATATATACACACACACACATAAAAATATCTGTATAATATATACATATAAATTTATGTATAATATAAAAGAAACAAAGAATATTAATATAATGATACAAATATTTATTCATTTTATTAAGATATATTTAAAAATATTTTATACAATGATTTTATATGTATTTTGATTATAATCATATAATTATTTTATATTGTATACATACATATACATATTAAATGTAAGTACAATATAAAACCATACAATGTAAAATATAATATGCAATTAATAAATATAAAATCAAATAAATAATTATATATTCATACATAATTAAATGCAATATAACTCTATAACCATTATACTGTATATCATGGTGACAAAGGGTCTGCCCCAAGGTTTTGCACAAAAACTAGAGGGAACATTGACTACCAGTCTCATTCTTGCATATCAGCATAAAGAAACTTTAAAGATCTTTTGATCAAAAATCTAAACACTCACTTCATTTGCTTAACTATTGTACTCTTCCCTGATTCCCCAGCACCTAAAAGAGGACAAACAACACAGAACGTTGTTGATGAGGTTGATATTACAAATCGATAAATAAAAGTTTATTCGCCTGACCCAAAACATCACACGCTCAGGAGAAGGTCTGCATTAGATGAATAGAAGCTTTCAACCTCTGCCTCCCACATCACAAGCCCAGCATGAGCTGCACAACGAGCTCTCTATTTCGGGTTGTGCTTGCCATACGGTGAGATTAAATGCCCTGAAGATGAAAGGCTTGTCTGATGTTAGTTCCCCCAGCCGAAGTGTTTGTGAGGACAGCAGGAGCTACGATAGGTGAGCTTTTTATAACCAAGTCAAATGACTCACTTAAATGGCTTATTTACTAACACACCAGAAAGAGATGTTTGTACAAACATGAGGAAACAGGCCAGTGGACACATGGCGTGTACGTAATCCAATGCTTTACTTCTCAGCTGACAAGTGAAATGAATAATAACAGTGTACATAACATAGTTTACATTAATTTAGCAGGTATTGCATTACATTTTGGATATGGAGTAACAGAGTAGGGCTGAATAATTTTGGAAAATAATCTATTTGCGATTTTTTTTACCAATATTGCGATTGCGATTTAATATGCAATTATTTTTTAAAGCTCTTTATGTTCTGTAATATTCAACAAAGACAAGCAATAAATCAATGTATAGTATGACCAACACACTATTATAGATAGATTAAACATAAATGTTCTTTTCTGTAGGCCAGACCTATATGTTACGATGAAATTAGGTGATGCATGAATTGATATGAATTACATTTTTATTTAACAACTACAATCACAGTATATTGACTGATTTGTTGAACTTCCAACCTTGTAAGCATGTAATAATTATGTTTAAATAGCCTGGTGTAAACATTAATATGAAAGTCAGTAACAAATCACACAAACTAAAGTAGATTGCAGAAATATAAAAACAAATCTGTTGCTTTACCACACTACTT